CAAAAATGGGGACGCGGTGGGGGGGGGGGGGGAGAGAGAAAGCGGGGCGGGGGAGAATGTTTTGACTGGCGTCCATGTGACAAGGTCATCCGTCATTTTTCGGAATAGATTGATAACACCTAAATTAAAGGCAACACATACACAACCTAAGGGGCGGATTGGAGATGGGAGAAAGAACTGACTATGTTTTTATCCTGGGATAAAAAAAGAAAACTCACAAGCCCCCTCGCTGCCTTTGATCAATTCCATATCCATATTTGACGTCAAATACTGAGAATTTCAATTCTTTCCCTTCTATTCGTGTTATTGTAAAATTTCTGTCCTGGCAGTAATCCCCACTGAATAGACCAAGGTAAGATTCTTTTTTAAAATTACTCTTTTAGGAGTGAGGAAAGAAGGAGGTGGAACCAGTAAAGACTGGGGTGACAAAACTTTTATAGGTAAAAGGTAACTTTTATAGGTTAAAGGTAAAATAACGTATAACTCCATAAACATTAAAGAATAGTAGTCATTTACGCTATTCCCCCTCTTTTTTTAAAAAAAAGTATAACTCCATAAACAAGCATACATTAAGGCGTAGATAATGCTGGCATTGTATTGGATTAATGGTTCCGATTATGGATCTCTTTTTTAAAAAGTTGTTGTTGTCGTCGTTTTAATTTCATTGCTACCAATGTTTCGCACGCGGGGGGTGGGGGTAGGTAGCCGCTAGGGCGATGCTCGCAGCCGGTTCACTTAAACGCCTTGTCAGTAGCTGCATTTGTCTTGTGGGCTGTTGCAGAAGGACAGCCAGTTCGATGTGTACAGATCGACGGGAGGTTGTTTAAGAGAATAAATCAAATGGGATCGTTTGGGATACGATGAGCTTTCCTACCTTGGGGGACCAAGTCCCCTTCGAGATCTCTCAGAGATGCTGCTGCCCCATAGTATCAGAACTTGAAACAACGGTTGACAGAAGCATAATCCTGGGTATTTGCACAAACGGCTTTCCCTTAAAGCCCACAGAAGTGGGGAGGGAGGTGAGGCGACTGTGTTCTTTTTGCAGCCCTCTTGCTCAGCATGTTTCTGTAATGCTCCGGGACATACCTCCCCCCACCTCTTCCTGTCATTCATTCATAGTCCCAGGGGAGTAAAAAGATCTACTGTATGGTCGATTTTTGTTTTCTTGTTTTTGAATCAGTGGAATACAATCCATTCCATGTAATTACATTAATTAATGTAATTAAAAGGAGGAGAGCGATGGCTATGAAGTAATTGACCAAGAAGATTCAAAGGGATGAGAGCGATTTCCTTTAAAAGTGTCCTCTTCCTAATTGGTCAAAGGACGCCCCACAACCACACACCGTGATGTTCCATGCAAGTCTCTGGGACAGAGCAGCAGAAATTGGCACAGCCTTCTCCACGGGGGTGGGGTATAAATCCAGATTGTCTGGTGATCTGTGTCAACTAAAGAACTGAGAACCAATGTTTGACCAAAGAGTGACCCTTTTGCTTTGTCTCTTCCTCATCAGACAGTTTGGTCTGTGCCAGCCTGTGTTATGTCTTGCCTTTCTTCTCTCCTTTTGCCTTAATATGGCTCTCTGGAGATTTCAGGGTTATTATTTCTTAGTAGTTTTCAGAATGTGACTTTTGCATTTAAAGAGAGTGCAGCTCCACAAGACAAAAGTTTATCCTCTGCCCCCTCACCTGCTCTCCCATCTCTCTCTGTCTCTCTCTTAAAAATATTTATAGGATAAGCATTGAAACAAATCTCATTGACCATTTCAAAAACGATCAAACTTTGATAAAAATCCATCGCCCACACCAGATCGATTGGGGAATATTTGTTAGGAATCCATTCCCAGAGAAATAAATAAGGAAGGGTAAAGTGTATTACATGCAAAAAGGTGAGACACGGTGGTGTTTTTCTTCATTGATTAATGACCTCTAAAATAAAACAACCGGGAAGAGGAGCCAAGATCGATAAATTAACTGCCCCCAATACATCATTTTTTTCCTCCCTAGGAAAATTATACATCCATCCTTACCTTCTTGCCCCTTATATTTTCTTCTTGGGAAAACAGGAGATACAAGCAGGGTGAGGCAGATGCCCTAAAGAATATATTGAATCGGGAAGACCCTATCTGATTTCATTTGACACACAATTTAAAAAGTTTCCTTTCATATTAATTAATTCTCCTGATCTGAGGAGAAGACAAATGGTCGGGTGCCTCTGACAGGAGACCGATAAAGGCTTGGGCAGCTTCCTTTCTTGCCCTGGGCGCCTCTTCATCCCACTTTTAAGGTCAGGGGATCTGAGTTAATAATTCATTAATAGAGACATTTATTCCGAAGCAATTCACACACCACATCCTACCCCCTCCCACCACATCCTACCCCCTCCCAGCACTGTTTAGATTTAGTTTAGTTTTCAGAGAAGCATCAAGGACAGGGAGGGGAAGAATCTTAAAATATTGATAATTGTTCTCCTACACTATATTTGATGTCAAAAACTTGCTGAAAGATGAGGCACTGAAACCAAAGCCAACTGAGAACACTTCCCTTACAATGTTCCTTCCTGGCCACATTAGTAAAAATGGGCATTTCATTTCAAACCTTGCCTTATTGCTCAGCAGTAACTCACAGCAACTCAAAGTAACTCGGCCATGAAGATTTCTAGTCCTTCCCTTGTGGGATCTCCCAAGCATCACCTTATTATTTCGAGAGGATAAACTGCAAGTCAATTCACACAAGCAGGTTTATCGGTCCATTTTTCCCCCCATTGAAGTTGCTCCTCAAGACTGGCAAGGGAATATGTGAATTGACTGTTGAAAAGCATTACATCTGGGGTGATATCAATGTGATATGAAGTTCTGTCTGGGGCAATATGAAAACCATGTTTTTGATTCTGTAATCCTACATAGTAGTCATCACTTAATGTTGCTAATCATGGCATAAACATGTATGTGTGAGCTAGGACCCAAGTTATCTGTGACCCACTAGGAGAAAACATGAAAACACAAAAATATAATTATGTAATTAGTGGCATAATTGATTCCAGACAGAATTT